GCGCGAAATGACACTTTCGTTGATTCCGAACTCTTCAACTATATTGGTCACCCTACGCCCCTCCTCGAACTTTCCGATCATTCTTCCACATGTGAAATCATCCAGGGGATTTCTTCTAACCATATTTCACGAAAGAACTCACGTTTGCAGCGAATGTCTTTAATTGTGACCCCGCCCTTCCTCTTATTGTAGTCTTTAGTTGAGATCGTCGACCGCACGCGTTTTGCGTACGCTCATGTCGCCTGTGAAGTTTTGTTCGTGACATCTGCATACGCATGACATTTCTACTGAGTTTCGTGTTCATTGTACTGATTGCAAAAACCCCTTTTCTGCAATTTCATGGCTATCGAATTAAAATTTACATTGTTGCTTAAGTTTTGCACATTATGTTCCTCAGCAAATCACTTTTGCATTCACAAATATCTATGTATTTTTGGGACATATATTCGCTAATTAAGCCCTAAGATCGCCACGCTTCTGCTGTAGTCTCTTTTTCAAAGAATAGGTAGAGTACATGCTACTCTGATTAAATTATCTATTTCGCATTTTTATTAATTCCAACCAGTTGGGACGTTACTTTCATTATCATGACTTGCCATAAACCTCATTAATTAACAACTGGAGTCGATGAATTCAAACTTTCTGAAATCTTAATCCAAATCCTGAAAGGTTCTTGAATCTCTCATATAAGAATAAATAATAGTAATAAGACACTAAGAATAATAATAGTAATAAGATACTAAGAATAATAATACTAATAAGGAGAGGGAAGAAGACTTGTACTTCCCATTAAAAGTTTTTAATGAACGCAGAATTCCAAATCTGCATTTAACGAAGAACAAATCTGAAGATGCGTTTTTTAAATATATGCCTATACATATATATTAAGTAGATGCAACTGAAATATAATATGTGATGATCATAATTAATCTCTTGAATCGTAAAGTTTATTTTCTGAATATAATTACACTATAATCTCCAATAAATTTCTTGCATTTTTCTTGCGTTTTTCACGAATTACATAAATCAGACGTAAAGGAGAAATAGAATTATTTCAATAGTTAACACAGAGAAACTCTAAACGTGCAACGCTGAGTTCTCTCCATAAAATTAAAGTGAGGCACCCAGGGCTGCCGCCAACTGATACTGATTATCCAAGTCCACTGAAATTGCAACAATCGTGTTCTTTCTTTTAATGAGCGCTTCTTCTGGTAATCCATAAAACGGCTCTTTCCAAACTTTTGAATTTAGAAGTTTAACATTTCAGTTCAAAACTTTTCTCAGTAGAGGCAGGGGATTTACCCGAACTTATAGAGCCAAGATATAGTTGCTGATAGTTGACAGCATGCGAGGGCACTAGGGTTTGATCTTGGGGGTCAACAAGTATTACTCTTCAACAGCAGCCTTTTGTGAGTTAAATACTTTTTCAAGATATAGGCCAAGGTAAAGAATATTTTACCGTGCTGTACTCTTTTATATTGATTTTTTTTTTAAGTCCGGAAAGTGACTTGGGTGCCCCTTGTGATTACGGTTTGCGTAACCCTATAAATCTTTCTGTGTTCAAAACTTCGAAAATATTTCTTTGATTATGATTTTAAAAGTGGAAAAGCACTCGAAAACTTGACTTTCCTGCTCTTAAATTTTTCTCAAGATTTCTCTCATTCGAGGATTCGAATAAATCATCCATAACAATAATTCACCTCAGCCAAAAACTTCCATATTTAGATATCCGGATGAAATTTCATAGAAATGAAATTATTGGATAATCAAGAAAACTGCAGCATCTCGGCCTGTCACAGTGAGGGCCAACAAACTCTTTTGGTATGAATGGTAAGTTCCAGGCGAACCAAGGGAACCAAGAGGTTTCCGACGGCATATTAAGTAGCAAGAAAGCAGCTGGCTACGCCAGAATTTCCAGTCTCAAAAGGAAACCCAGATGAGTAAGAGACAGGGTCGAGTAGCGAAAACTACCAGTTAACGAACCAGGAAATCAACTGCCTAAACGGAAAATTACTGATTGCTCTCCACAATTACTTTCCCTTTCTGGTATGAATTTGTGGTAAAAATGATGAAATGGTATCACCGAAGCAAAAGGTGAAATTTATTTTTTTTAAGTGTTCAGTTTTAGTTTATATCTTAAGTATCAAGTCTGACCTGTGTAAAATTGTTACTTATTGATATCCAGGTTGTTAAACACTATTTAGAAATATACTTCAAGAAGAAAAAAATTGAGAATATACGACTTCAAATTATTTGGAAACGGAAATAATCCCAAAAATTCTGCACAAATATCTTCAAGATGATAAATGACGAAATATAGAGACCTCTGAGAATTAGCATTTTCAGGACATATTTGCGTATCCCAATATATAGCGATCTAAACAAGACATTCCTAAGTTGTTACGTAATGATGCGATCGGGACATTTACAGGTCAAGACACTCAACTATATCCCAGGACGTTGCGACTTTACAGGACATCCTAAGGACATTCTATGTTATGAGGGCTTAAAGCTTTTTTTTAAATCAATTTTATGTTCTTAATTATATCAGAACAGAATTTCTAATTTCATAGAGGTGATTTCTTCGTTAAAATGTACCAGACTGCCATATTCTGATACTCTTTGTTTACAATTTAATGGTTAGTAACTGGATTTTAACTGTAACAATATATAACTTAGTTGATTTAGTTTCCCTGATATGATAGTTAGATTTTTTAAAAAATAATTGTCGGTCGATAGGGATCTTTTTGTTATTAAATAGCTTTAAAGTGAAGTGAAGCTCTTGAGACTTGATAGAAGCAGTCTAGATTTCATAGGATAATTACATCAATGTTAGTTTTTAAAGTAGTAGTCTAACCATGCCCAAACGTAAGGTAAAAGCTTGCGTTACCATACTTTAACATATATATAAATAACAGCTGTCTTGGGTCCTACAACAAAGAATCTAAGGCAAAAGTTTGCGTTACCACACTTGTAGATATATGAATTAAGGTGTCCTGAGTCCATCATCAAAGGTAATTTTACAAAATTTGCTTTAAAATGAGCCCAATTGCTTACACCACACTGATTTAGTTAAATCTGCCACTGTAAGAACACATGTTCGTATTTAAGTGTAAGAACCACTGTAAGAACACATGTTCGTATTTAAGTGTAATAGAAGGAACGGTTTAAAGACCTCGCAATAGCCGCAGCTGAGGGTTCTCCGAATTTTAGAGAAAGTCCGTGATGCATAACTAAATTAAAACAGGATTAGTTTCTTATTAAAACTGTTTCTTTAGGATAATCAAGCGAAGGAGAATCATTGGAATCAGAACCACAATAACTTAACTCAATGTGTAATTGACTCAAGAGATCCTGGAACGCAGCTAGATACTGAAGCTGTAATTTTAGAAATGTCTTAATTCAGAAAGATTCGATAAATACAGTGGTAACCAAAATTAAAGTTACTCAATTCAAAATAATTATCTATACTATTTTAAAAGCTAACATCTTATACTATAGGGCAGCGGTTCTCAGCCTTTTGACAAAAGTGTACCATCTGAACAAAAACTAAAAAATTTTAAGTACCACCACTACATTCTACAATGATTATTTTTCAGTTTCTCAATAGAAATATTTAAAAACATATATTTTGCCATTTGCACAACCTATTGATTATCTGTATTAAACATGCACACATAAAACATATTAGATTAAAAATAAATCGCCATTTTAATTATCAAAGTTATAATACTTTAATTCTAAAATTTAGTGTGAAATTAGGGCCTGATTTCTTTATGTCTGGTCATATTAGTAGATAGAAAATGGGGGTTCACCCACACGCGGTGTGGGCGTGGCCAATGACGTCACACAGAAGGCGGGGCCAAAGGCAACGTCATCACACTAGGAGGCGTGGTTTCGAGTGGAGTTGAGGTGTTTTTAGATTGCTGATTGAGTTGTAGACCTCCTGCTTTTCATTTAAAGTTAGTTTTTTTTTTAATTGGCAACGGGGTCATGGCGTCCTCTAGGGACGAAAAAGGAAAATAATTTATTTTAGAAATTTCTTTTTTTTTTTTTTTTTAAATGTTCTATGATTCAAAATATAGGATTGATCCCTGAAACAAAATATCTCACCAGCTGAGTAGTTTGAAGATTTTAACCACTAAGCTGACGGGATACATTCAGATTTAGGTAAAAAAGCCTATATAAGAAAATGGAATTTGAATCAGCTCATCAATTGCAATTATGCCTGCTCCAGGAGAAGCCACCGTTGCGGTGTGTTTATACACTGTTTTATGTGTTATTTTATCATCCATCTATATTTTTACAGAATTTCATAAAATTCCTATTGATTTTACGCTACGTCTTAACGACAGTGGGAACTTATCATTATCCATATGAAGAATAATTCAATAGGTTATGAATATGAATTTATCGTATCAGGATCCGGCTCATGTTGCAAGTTTTGGTGGTGTTGAAGCTTTACATCGTGCTGCAGGAGGTAAAGTTTCCAGGAAAGAGATTCAAACATGGTTAGAGGGAAGTAGATGCGTACACGCTTCACAAGCCGATTCGCCGAAAATTTCCAACGAATAGAGTAATCGTGTATTCTATAGATCAACAATGGCAAGCTGATTTAGTGGATGTTTCACATTTACGTGATCATAATGATGGTTATCGATATATATTAACCTGTATTGACATATTATCCAAAATATGCATGGGCTATTCCTCTGAAACAAAAGAGAGGAGAAGATATTGTGAAAGCGTTTCAAAAAATAATGAGCCAACGTAAACCAAAATTACTTCAAACGGATCAGGGCACCGAATTTAAAAATAAAGTGTTTATAAAATTTTTTAAAAAGAAATCAAGTTAAACTTTTCAGTACATTCAATACTACTAAAGCATCCGTGGTGGAAAGGTTTAATCGCACTTTGAAAACAAAAATGTGGAAATACTTTACGACTCGAAATACATATAAAATATGTAGATGTCTTGGACAAATTAATAGAAAGTTATAATGCTACTTTTTCATTCAAGTATAAAGCGAGCTCCCATAGAAGTCAATTCAGAAAATGAGAGTGATGTATGGTTTACCTTGTATGAAGATCATCCTTCTAACGTTTCTAAATGTATATTCGCTGTAGGAGATGTGGTACGTGTTTCCAAACTAAAGCTTACTTTCGAAAAAGGCTATGAAACCAATTGGACGGAAGAACTATTTGTGGTGACAGAGTGTGTTAAAAGACATCCAGCCGTGTATAGAATTAAAGATTTACTTGGAGACTCAGTAAAAGGAACGTTTTATGCACAAGAGTTGCAGAAAGTGAGACTGAAAGAGGAATATCGCATTGAAAAAATTTTAAAGAAACGTATGCGTAAGAAACAGACAGAATACTTTGTAAAATATCGCGGTTATCCCGACAAATTCAATCAATGGATTCCAGCTTCTAATTTACTCTCGATATAAAGTGTGAGAAAATACTGTATCCGAATCATTTGTGAAAATGAGTTTCTACGTAACACTTCCGAGCGATAGCTCTATGAATTATTTCCCCGAAAATAAAATTTCACATTTTATAACACGTTTACCTGTTCCCATTGAATTAAAAGGTATGTGGGAAGTTGGTTTGGTTGAATTGCTATATCCGCACACATGGCACAATGTGAATGCAGACAATAACTTAATTGGATTTGTTTTAGAGAAAGATGGTGAAATGTTAGGTCGTAGATTACCTCCAGGATGTTATGAAACAGTACCTGATATTTTAAAAGCTATTTATATTAAAGAACATCAAAACAAAATAATTTTTAATTATAACCCAGTAACAAAACGAGTGAAAATCAAAGTGAAAAATAACGCTAAAGTGATTTTACATGATGGGTTAGCACAAATGTTAGGTTTTGAACCTATGGAAATTACATCTACAGATGATAGTTCCGAAACTGTTGTAGAAAGTCCTTTTGCAGCCGACCCCTGTGCACATTATCGTGTATTAATGATATATACGGATATTGTAGAACCTCAAATCGTAGGAGATGTTTTAGCTCCTCTTACTTCGAATTGTAAGAGTAACTGGTAGCGATGGAGAAGTGGTGAGTGCACTATTTGATAGACCTCATTATTTACCTGTGAATCGGAAAATGATAGACACTTTGGAAATCGATATAAGAACGCATATGGGAGCATTTACGCCATTTGAACGAGGAAGGTCATACGTGAAACTTCATTTCCGTCAAAAATACTTGTCATAATGTATGTACCTTATCAGTGTTGTCAAAAATCTTTTGAAGATTATTATGTACAACAAACAGGACATGGATTGAATTATTATCAAGGTAATCTTTATCAGAGAGGATACGGATTAGGGGGTCTATTCAGATCCTTCTTTCGCGCTGCCGTACCTCTTATTAAATCAGGAGCCAAAGCAATTGGAAAACAAGTATGGCATAGTGGACTGAATTTGTTAAATGATGTATCACAAGGACAAGATGTAAAAGAGGCTGCTAAGCGTCGACTGAAAGAAGCCGGAAATATATTAACGGATAAAGCTGCTACTAAAGTGAAGAACATGATTGGTTCTGGACGAGTCAATAAAAAGCAGAAACGTAGGAAAAAGCGTACCATTTCTCACCGATCAAAGAAGGTGAAAGCACAGGATATTTTCTCTTAAAAAAAAAAAAAGTATGACTTCGTATATTACATCGAGACTCTCCCGTTTGCGCGTCAAATCTGAATTAGATTTATTTACCATTCCTCCTACGCAAACAGCTATAGAAAAAGGACAGTTTGTGGAATATCACCCTCTCGCAAATATACGAGATGGAGGACCTATCGAATTTAATATTTCTGGCAGTGGTGAAGACTATATTGATCTAGCTGCTTCTTATATACACGTGAAAGTTAAAGTAGTTAAGGCAGACGGATCCAATCTAACAGACAAAGAACCGGTTGCCCCTGTAAATTTATTTTTACATTCTCTCTTTTCGCAAGTAGATGTAAGTTTAAATGAAAGAAACATTTCATCTGCGACAAATACCTATCCCTATAGAGCCTTCATCGAAACATTATTGAATTATGGGGAAGATGCAAAGAAAAGTTTACTCACCTGCGAAGGATTTTTCCAAGACACTTCACCTAATAAAATAGATGTCTTAGCTCAAGATGCGGATGATGCTGGACTAAAAGCTCGCGGTGAACTTATAAAAAACAGTCAAAGTGTGGATTTGATAGGACAATTACATTGTGACATTTTTCAACAAAATCGACTCATGTTAAATTTAGTTGATGTGAAAATTAAAATGGTGCGTAGTAAATCTGCTTTCTGTCTAGTTTCTACTGAGAAAGATGCCGATTATAAAGTGATCTTGGATCATGCTTCTTTGTTTATCAGAAAAGTAAAAGTAAACCCTGGAGTCTCTCTCGGACATGTAAAAGCGTTGGAAAAAAGTTCTGCTAAATACCCTATAGATCGAGTATTATGCAAAACATATTCAGTATCTAAGGGAAGTTGGTCTTTTATGCAAGATAATGTATTTTTAGGATTGATGCCCAAGCGAGTCATTATTACTTGTGTAGAAAATGCTGCAATGAATGGACAATATTCAATGAATCCCTTTCTGTTTGCCCATCATCATGTCAACTTTATATCGATTTATGTAGATGGACAACCCGTTCCATGTAAACCAATGGACCTTGATTTCGAATCTAATCATTATGTGCGTGCTTACCACAGTTTATTTTCTGGATTTAATCGCGACAAAGGCATCTATTTATCTCGAGAAGAATTTGTGAAAGGACATGTGTTATATGCTTTCGATTTAACTCCAGATATGTGTGATGGATCTCATTTTAACTTACAGCATCAAGGTAATTTGCGAGTAGAAATTAAATTTGCTAAAGCTCTCTCTGTGACTCTCTCGGTGCTAGTCTATGCAGAATTTCAAAACGTGATTGAAATAACAAAATCTCGTCATGTACTATGCGATTTTGCTAATTAAGCAATGGACAGCCTTGAAATAAACAGAGCACTCTCTCAGAATGCAAAGACACGAAAAGCATTTCTGGGAGTTTTTGCAAGTGATCGACTCCCTATCGAGATCAAGAAATATCCAAGTTGCTTTATAGCTAATGTAGATCGTGCATCTGAATCCGGTAGTCACTGGTTAGCCTTTTACATTTCATCCCCACAGCATTTAGAATTTTTCGATTCCTATGGACATGACCCATCCTATTTTCCTGGACCGATAGCCAAGTATGCAGAACGATTTCCACAGATGGACTTTAATTCGATGACTCTCCAAACTAATGTAACAGCAGTATGTGGTCAATATTGCATATACTATTTACATTGTAAATGTCGTGGACAATCTCTCAATGATATATTGTTATCTTTCATACCTCAACATATATCTAATGATATTAAAGTATATAATTTTGTAATCAAGAAATTTCATGTAAGATCTTCTTTCTATCAATAAATACATTTAAACTTTATACATTATGTGTCTTGTCTCATTTAATATGGAATTTCCAAAGCTACAACATCCTTTCACAATGGTGATTTCGGGACCCACTGGATGTGGGAAAACCTATTTTGTACGAGAACTGTTAAAGTATAAAGAGGAAATGTTTTCAACGATTCCCGATAAAGTAGTATGGTGTTATGGAATTTACCAACCTCTGTATAATGATATACCGAATGTTACTTTTGTCGAAGGTTTACCAATTAAATATCAAGAATATTTAGGTTCCAACACATTATTCATCATAGACGATTTGATGAGCGAATGTGGGAATGATAAACGTCTGACTAACTTATTTACAAAAGGAAGTCATCATTTAAATTTAAGCGTTATTTTTATCACACAAAACTTTTTTCACAAGGGAAAAGAAATGCGTGAAGTGACTTTAAATGCACACTATTTGATTTTGTGTAAAAACAGAAGAGATGTCAGTCAAATCGTACATTTAGGAAAACAGCTCTTTCCGCGTCATTTAAAGTTTTTTCAAGAAGTATATGAAGATGCAACCAAGAAACCTTTTTCTTATTTATTCATTGATCTGCGCAGTGAAACTCCGGAAGAATTACGTTTACGCACCCCAAATTTTTTTACCTAACCAAGTACAGTATGTTTATCAAATGAAACATTATTAAAAAATAATAAAAACAACAGCTTTATAAAATGCATCATCATTTTATAAAATGACGCTGGTCAAGAAAACAGCTAAGACAGTTACAGCTGTTAAACATTTGTCCGTTAAAGTTACGGAAACAGCTATTAAAGAAAATTAATATCAATTGCATAAAAGCTATATGCGAATGTAGTTTAAACATACTCAAAGGAAACGTTCCATTGTCAGAGCAACAAAAGAAGTCTCTCTGTAAGCATAAAACAACTTTACGAAAATTAGGAAATCGTAAGATTTCTCTTGTGAAGAAACGAAAATTAATTTTACAAAAAGGAGGTTTTCTAAACGTTTTGATTCCTGCTGCTCTCAGTGTTCTTACAGGACTAATCAATGGAGTTCACTAAGAAATATGTGTTAGTTCCAGAAGAGATGATGACAAAGCATACCATTTCTGATAAACAGTTAAGTGAATTGGATAAAGCCATGATGCATATTTTAAACAGTTCAGTTGACGATCGTGAGAAATTAGTGCGTTATTATGAACTTTTACAAAAGAAATTGAACTTAAAGGAATACAATTCACCCTTTAAACCTCCTAAAGACGACTCACAAAATTCTTTAGACGATTCAGCTGAGATCAAGAAAGTGAAAGAGGAAGAAGCCCCTTCATCTGTGACAGACGGCGACAAACAGATGACTGTAACTGATTATTCTACTGTTATCTTAGACAGTGTACCTTTACGAATGAGAAGAAAAGCACAAAATGCATTAGCTATTTTAAAGCGACATCCTGATATTCTTAAGTGGAATGATAAAGGCGAGGTACTTTATCATAAGGAAAAAATTAAGCATTCAAATATTATAGACTTATTCAATATCCTTTTTACAACCAAAAAGAAAAGATTAATATTCCTGCTAAAAAGCGAATTTTTAAAAGCCTTGACTGAAATCAACATGCCAATGGACTATATCAAAAATGAAAATTTACAGAATCATGATGTTAATATGAAAAAAAAAATATTGCATGTTAAATCTGTAAAACATATACGTTCTCCACGAAAATGGGAACCTTATTAAATGAATAAAATTATTATTTTTACATATAGACTCTTTCTTCTCTCTACAATCAATATTTGTTTTTACATCGTTTTTAAATGTTATGAAAAACATTCATTTCACCAAGAAGCTTTTACCTTTCAATACATTTATTTTCAAAGAATAAATTTCTGTATTATACATAAAATATACTTGGAATTTTCTTTCATTAGTTAATATCAAATTAACAGCAATATCCATTTACTAACATTTGATATACACGTTTGCTTTAAAATTAAAAC